AAATAAGAACTCATGAGATGTTAGAGGGACTTTTCAGAATAAATTAACATATAAGTATTCTTATAAGACTATTAGACTAAGGTTCTTCAGTTATATATACAGAAAAAAAACAGAAACAGGATGTGACAGCAGTAAGTCAAGGTCAAAATACTCTGTTTGTAGGGCCTCAAAGCCATCCTAATATTTTGCCTCAGCTTCCAGCAAAAAGTATACAGAATACAAGGGTAAAACTCTCCTGACCACAAACAGAAACGAAAACTGCAAGGTCTGAATCAGAGCTAAAAATAAAGCTACACAGACTGAATTTGGAAGACTATACAAGATCACCTCAATGTCAAAGTAATGAACTTGAAAATGAAATTGTAAGGCAGGTAGCAAGGAATTTAAGTAAGTATCACTGGAAGATGAAAATATGCCCATATTAAAGAAAAAATTACTTTGTTAGCTACACAGCCATTAGTCTGATTTAAGCTGTGTGTAAGGCTTTGGAATAAAAGCAAGATGAAATGTAATATTAAGTAGGTAGCTAACATTTAGTTTAAGACAATATAGCTTATCTCATTCATTGCAGCACACCACCTTACATAGAAATCTGTAGTTCAAATGGAAAATGGTGATAAGTACAAGAACTGGAAAATTAGTAACAACACCCTGGGAAGACAATAAAAAAACAAACCAACAATGTGCACTGAAACAAAAAAAAAAAAAAAAAATCAAGCTGAAGGGAAGCTATTACAGATAGTAAGTAATAGCAAGTAAGTAATAGTCTATTACTTAAAGATGTAATTAATGGCTGTAGCACACACACACAGAAAAAAGTACCAATTTTTTTAGGCAAGTTGGGAACATTATGAATAAGAGGAGTAGCGTGCCGCATGCAAAGAAACAGATGAATCTGAGAACTACAGCACAGAAACACCATGAAATATAAGAATACAAACCACAGATTTCACAAACTTGAAACTAGAGAGTTTCTGATAAAATCTACGGTCTTTCAGTTTGGAAATATTCTATTAGTCAGTCTCAGGCTGATCTTTCAGGCACATCTCTTAGACAAAAATTCTTGCATAAAACCCTTCTTCCCAACCTTCGCTATCAGAACTGTTTGTTGCCAACTCTGCATCACCTTTTCTTTTTTCCTGCTATGTTTTTGTTTTGGGTTTTTTGGAGCAAACAAACACCACACACAAAAAGTCTCTTATCTAAAAGAGCACATACCTACACAAGCACCTGGGACACTGAAATAGAGGGTGAGATGTCACAACAGCAGATGGACCACAGGCCTCATTTACCTGCCCCAAGAAACCCTGCTACCATTACCAGTCTGCAGACCCAGAATAACAACTGCTACAAGCACCTATTTTGATGGAGCTACAAAATTAGTAAATGGTAAATGCAATCCTATAATGCACTTAAAAGTATTTCTGGTAAAGAACTCAGAGAGGCAGCAGTTACAAATGCCATATTCCTACATTCCCAAGGGACTCAACTAGCCTCCTCAAAATTTAGCAGTGTCAAACTTGTTAAAACACCTACAGGTCAAACCCAGCTCTCCCACACCTCAGACTCACTTCTGCTGTTAACCACCGGCTATCTGGTTATTAAAATAGCCTTACTTGAGACTATTAGTAGTTAGGATTCACTGGCAATGCAATTATGCTATTGCTTACCCTCAAAAATGGATTTAAACAGCATTAAAAAAAATGCAGGTAGCATTGATTTTATGCAGATTAGGTAATTGCTGCACGAAGATAAGCAAGTACATAAGACTCCAAAGAAGCAGCAGTTTGGGATAGTATGGGAAACTGAAAATAGCTCATGTAAAAATTCTCAGTAGTCACTGAAACAATAACTGTGATAACTAAAGCAGTGTGCAGAACTAGACATTTTAGATAGCAGCGTAATATAGAATTAAAGGAATGTATTATCATACGTTGCAGGTCAATAAAGACCATGCTTATGAGAAGCTCAAATAACATCTAAAACATTACCTTCTCCAGACTGATAACCTTTCTTATAAGCAGCATAATATTTTTTTTTGCCAAAAGCTTTATAGCTATTTCATAGAACCATAGAATGTTTCGGGTTGGAAGGGACCTTAAAGATCATCCAGTTCCAATCCCCTGCCACAGGCTGGGACACCTTCCGCTAGACCAGGTTGCTCAAAGCCCAGTCCAACCAACACATGCAGGGATGGGGCAGCCACAGCTTCTCTGGGCAACTTGTTCCAGTGTCTCACCACCCTCACAGTGAAGAACTTCTTCCTAATGTCTCTTACAGTGTAAAACCACTCCCCCTTGTCCTGTCACTACATGCCCTTGTACATGCTCCGCTAAGTCTCCCCAGAGCCTTCTCTTCTCCAGGCTGAACAAGACCAACTCTCTCAGCCTGTCTTCACAGGAGAGGTGCTGTATCTCTCTGATCATCTTCATGGCCCTCCTCTCTGCAACACGTCCATGTCCTTCTTACGTTGTGGGCCCCAGAGATGAACGCAGCATTAGTTAGAGTCCTCTTTATTTGCTCTTCATAAACTGATTATTTCTTTACTTCTCTCCAACAAACATTTTGGATGTCTAAATGAAGATGCTGAAAGGTACTTTCTTACGGATCAGGTGAAAAAACCCTAAAAGACCGAGATATAAACAGAATAACATCCATGGTCCTCTTACAGGGACTCGCAAACACCGCCCATTCTCACCCCAGACACCGTGCCCGGTGAGTACGGCAGCCCATGGCCCTGCGCCACACCTCAGCAGCCACAGGGCCTCCCTTCTTTCCAGGCGAGTAGGTGACAGCGCTGCCGGGTCACACCACACCGCAGCGCCCCAGCACCTGCCCAGCGTCGGAGACCGAGCCCGCCAGGGGCTCATTCCATCAGCAGCGCCGATGGGCCCCGGCCGGGGCGCGGCGAAGTAGCCTGCTCTACTCGCCCGAGCGCTGATAGTAATGGGCACCGCGAGGCCGCCGCAGCAGCGGAGCTTCGCGCCGGGCTGGGGATGGCGGGCGCTGACCTGAAGTTGGACCAAGCGAAATTCAGCGCCGCCTGGAACCGATCGCTGCCTAGCTCCTCCTCAGGCAGGCCGGTCACACTGCGCACCAGCGCTCGGACGGCCCAGTCCTGCTCCTGCTCGAAGCGGCTGCGGTGGCCGGGAGAGACGAGTGGCGCCGCCATGGCCACAGCACCGGAGAGAAAGGAGGGGCGACACCTCCGGGAGGCGCCACCGAACCACCCCTCAGCATCACCACCACCACATCGCGCGGGACTGCGCTGCTCGCGCGGTTTCACTGGGACTTCTCGCGAGAGCCTCTCTCCAACGGGATTTCGGGAGGGAGCGTGCGCATAAACTGAGAGGGGAGTGGGGTCGAGGGGCGTAGTAGTGTCGCTGGTAGCAGCTGTGGGCGTCTAACCCCATGTCTGCAATGGCTTTCTGGCACGGGAATGCCTCTTGTCAAAGGGAAACACCGCAGTAAGGCGTGAACACCCGGGATAAGTGAATTAGCTACCGGTAGGCATCCACCTAAGGGTCCGCTGCTGGCTGTCTCTGCGTGGCAGAGTCGGTTTGAGGAAGGCAAAATGCAGTACCTCTCTTGATAGGCGTATTTGGAGTCGGCTTTTTGCATAGGACATTCCATCACTCAGAGGGTTTCCCAAGGGCTCCGTGCTACACGTCACACCAGCTACTCTGTGACCCATTTCAATTGTACTTACTTGGAGCAGTACTTAAAGACTTTTTAAGTGTATGCTGAGACCACCCTGCACCAACAGGCCTGGCTCTCACCCTGCTCTACTGAGGCAGCTGTGTGTATTCCTCCCTGACTAAACTGATTTTGTATGGCAGGATAAATCATAGTTAGTGGATATTTGTTGGAGAGAGTCCAGAGGAGGCCACAAAAATGAACAGAGGGCTGGAGCACCTCTCCTGTGAAGACAGGCTGAGAGAGTTGGTCTTGTTCAGCCTGGAGAAGAGAAGGCTCTCGGGAGACCTCACAGTAGTCTTCCAGCACCTAAAGAAATCTGGAGAAGGGCTTTTTACAATGGCATGTAGTGACAGGGCAAGAGGGAATGGCTTTGAACTGACAGAGGGTAACTTCAGATTAGATATTAGGAAGAAATTCTTCACTGTGAGGGTGGTGAGGCACTGGCACAGGCTGCCTGGAGAAGCTGCTGCTGCCCCATCCCCAGCAGTATTCAAGGCCAGGTTGGATGGGGCTTTGAGCAACCTGGTCTAGTGGAAGGTGTCCCTGCTCATGACAGGGGGTTGGAATTGGATGATCTTTAAGGTCCCTTCCAACCCAAACTATTCCCCAATTCTGTGATACGATTCTACAACATTCGGTACACAGGACATAAGCATACATGCAAGACTGGAGTAAGAAACCAGTTTTGTCCTACTTCCATGTCAAACATTGGCTGATCATCAAAAAATGCTTTTGTACCTCTATATAGTTTTATAGGGCTGCAAAGATAACAGCCTGGCCATAATAATCCTTCTAGAAAGAAACCAACTAAATCTGTGGGAAATATTATTCACTAATACCTGTAATAGTCCCTGCTTTGATGCAGTTGTCCTGTCCTTCATTTTTGGGCTTTATCTTGCTTGATCTCATCAACAAATATTGGATTGTAATCCACCCTGCCAATGTTTTTGATTTATTTTGTCCATTAAAACATTTGTATTGGCAGAGCAGGAGTAGCTAATTGATCAGGAGGAGAGGTAGAAAGAAGTCCTCAGAAATGTTATTTTTAATTTAAAATATATTTAGTGTATGAACAGAATGTGAAGAATTATATAAAAATATAGTAGTGTAATTTAATAATCCTAAAAGTAATAAAATCACATTGAAATTCTACTAAGTTACAGTGTATTAAGAAACACTAGAACATTTTTACCTGGGTAGGCTAAATCTTACTTTAGGTTCTGGATGTAGATCTGCAAGGAAGTGATGGCTTCACTACACCAGCAGGCAGGATGCTCAGCATGAACATGAGCTCAGAAGGGCTCTGCTCCAGGGCTTTTCTTATAAAGCCTTAACTTATTAAACATTCAAAGGAAAAGTCTATAAAACTTTACTGGTGTTCATACATCTCTTCTGACACTGTAGATGTTTCCTACTTTAGATGAGCAACAGTCATTTCACTCTTTAGCTGGGGTAACCAAACAATGTTTTGAGCTATAATTTGTCCTAGGTTTTAACTAAAGGTGTACACAGTCAGTAGACCCTGCAATTAGTAATTGGAATACTGTGAATGGCATTTAAACAAAATCATAAGATCTTAAGGCTTCAAGTGTTCTTTATACAATGTAACTCTGGTTATTACTTAACTCCTATATATTTAAGCATACCTGTGCTATTTCTTCAGTTTTGCTCAGAGGGGAAGCTCCAGGCTTTGCAGCATGACAGGAGCACATGTGTGTCACCTGTGCCTTTGTGGTGTGAGGAGTGTGGCAGCCACCCATTTCAGTGCCCTGTCAGAAAAGGAAAGATAGATTTTTCACAGCGTGAAGCATTCCAGATCATAACAGCTGCCTTGTGACACACTGAGTACCATGAAACATGGGCTTTAATGACAGCACTGTCTGAAAGGTTTCCTGCATCCCAGCTGCCCCATGTAAGTCCATTTCCCCTCACACCACACCCTCAACTGTGCTGTTTGTAGAGGAGCAACACAGTGACCTGAATCAGGGAATGGATCCAGATTAAAAATAGTCTTGTTTCTGTTTTGCCAAGAGTTTTGACATGGATCAATTCACTGATCCATTTCTTTGGAGGTGTCAAGAAGTGAGGGAAGAATCACACACCCTAAAGCCCCCAGGCAATACAAATAGACCCTCCATTGCTAGCAAATCAGAAACCCGTGGCTGGTTTTCAAAACGATACATGGGCTGGGATAAATGTATAACATCTGTGCTGCCTCAGTCATAAAAGACTTTAATGCTACAAATGTTTGGGGCTTTTTGGTCTTTCCCTCATCATAAGCTTCCTCATTTATATTTTCATTTTGCCAATTTACAGTAGCAAGGCTTGGTATTTGATTTCAGCTGGGGGAGACAGCACTGGGCAGGGAGAAGTCATGAAGCCCCTCTCTGAAAGTAATTTAAGCTATTTTTTAAAGTAACATTTAATGCTGGGAAGCTTAATAGTTTATATTCCTTGATTTTCATGTTGTAACTGTCACTTCCCACCCAGCTGTCCTTTCAGGTCACAGTGCTATGAACTAGATGTATTTCAGTTAAGATCTCCCTTGCTCATAGCATCAGGTCATATTTGGGAGATGTGTCCTTCTCTGTAATATCATATAAACACCTGTGTCCAGTTGCATATTGGATGCAAGTCTTTTGCTGAACTGTACATCTCTTAGGGAAGCTTCTCTGAGCAGGCAATCTCTCCCTTGCTTCTCAACTCCAAAGAGCCAATTTGTTAAGAAGGATTCTAAGGCAAGAGAAGGAATAAATGAGTTGAAACGTGTCAGGCTGCTGTAAACTGTTAGACAAGCCAGCTACGTGAGATTCACACTTAATGCATGAGACTAGTCAGGTCTCCCTTCGGTTTTATCAGTCACCTCTGGTACCTGCAAAGCAGGATAAATTCCACAGCATGAATGGACAGTATATTTAAAATACTGTGTTTAAAGAAGTACTGCAGATTTTAGGTTTTTGTCATTTTCAGTGTATCTATAGAAATAATTATTTAATAAGTAGCTGAAAGGGGGTTACAGAAAATTGTTATTTACCATAAATACATTGTCCATATGCTTCCCTTTACCACCAACTTCAGCATGTATGAGACTAAAGTGAGTGCTGAGCTACCAGGAAAGAGTAAGACCTGCCTTTATGGTCATGCAAAAATCAATACAGATAGCTGAATACTGGAAAAGGCTATAAGCTCATGATTTACAGCAGAAATTACACAAAAATACCTCTGAAAAGCAACAGGAAGATGATGTACCTGATCTTTATCCTTAACAGGAAGAAGGTCATCTGATAACTTTCTACTACAACAGATTTTGATGTGCACCCTAACTTCTTACTCTCAGTTCTGCATTTGGCAAAGTTTCACAACTGAGTATAATGTAGGACACGTTTAAAAAACTGCTGAAACAGACTTTAAGTCTGCAATTGGTAGTGGTTTGTGCTTGCCTGTTAGTTGCAAGATCGATAAAGATTTGATGTAGTTCTAAAGGAAAAAGAGGATAGAAGAGTGCAGATAGAGAAATTGTAAGGATACCAAGCTGAATAACTGAAATAAAGAGAGCAGGATAGTAGGGGTGATTTGAGGAATTTGCTGTTGTATTAAAGTCCTGCTTAAAAATTAGGATTTAATATGCAGTTACATTTTCATTCAATGTTTCATTTTCATTCTGTTATCTATTGTAACAGAATGCATACTGCATAATGCATACAATTACACCATTATCATCAGCTTCAGCAAAGATCATTGCACAGTTCTGATGTACCTTATGCAGTGTTTTGACTAGAGTGTAGAATATTAGATATAATTCTGACTATGTGTAATCTCTTCTTACAGACCTTGGAGGACAGGCTTGGCCAGCAGTCACCCTTCAGGTAGGCATATTGCTGAAACCTTACAGAGCTGTTAAGTTTTCTTTATAAATCAACAAAAGAAAAACACAAATGTGTGACACAATGGATAAAGAAAGAGATAGAAAGTGGATATTGGGCTTACTGGAGAACGTAAGGGATGCAGCCATAACACAGAGAAAGATGGAAACAAAAGGAGTCTAGCAGGAGACTTCACACACACCCCACCCCCACCCCCCCCGCTTTAAAAAAAAAAACAAAGAAAAAGCAGGAGTTCACATAGTTTGGTACAAATTAAATAACACAAATAGAGAGTAACAGGCTATGAGGTTCAGCTTAGTTTTCTGTGATCCATCCCATCAGGGCAGTAATGGTACTGCTGTGATACCTTATGCTGTTTGACTTCATGGAAGACTCAGTCACAGAACATGGAAATCATGGTGTCCCAGGTCACTATCTCACTGTCAACAGCAAGTTGTTAGAATATTGTGTAGTGGGTAGGGAACTGCCTGACAGGCTGCACCCAGCGGGCGCTGGCAAATGGCTCCTTTTCCAACTGGTGACCTGTCACTAGTGGAGTCCCCCAGGGATCCATATTGGACCCAATATCTTCATAAATTATCTGGAAGTTGGGATCAAATGTACCATGACCAGTTTGCCAATGATACCAAACTGACTAGGGAAGTGGACACTTCGTAAGGGAGAGCCACACTGCAGGAAGACCTGGGTAGGCTGGAAGAGTGGGCTAACAAGAACCTTATGGAGTTTAACAAGCACAAGTATAAGGACTGGACCTGAGTAGACACAATCCAAGAGTGCAGCATAGGCTGGGATCTACTTGGCTGGGGAGCAGCTCTTTGGAAAGGGACCTGCGGGTCCTGGTGGACAACAAACTCCGTATGAGTGAACAGAATGCAGCTGTGGCAAAGAAATGCAACGTGGTGCTGGATTACATCAACAAAGGCATTTCCAGCTGAAGTAAAGAGGTCATCAGGCCGCTCAACTCAGCTGCTGTCAGGCCACAGCTGGAACACTGTGTTCAGTTTTGGTGAAGAAGTTGTGTACAGGCTGGAGAGGGTCCAGAGATGGGCCACAAAGATGATCAAAGGATGGGGAGCCTGATGTATGAGGAAAGGCTGAGAGAACTGGTTGTGTTCAGCCCAGAGAAAAGAAGGCTCAGGGGAGACCTTATCACCATGTTCCAGTATTCAAAAGATACAGTTTACTCCTCTGGAAATGCCAATTGGAAAACTTCACAATGAGAACAATCAACCATTGGAATAATTCTGCCAGGGAAGTGGTAAATTGCCCTATACAGGACACTTTTAAGATTTGCCAGGACAGGGTGCTAGGATATCTAGTCGAGGTCATGTTTTGCCTAGAAAGGTTTGACTAGATGATCCCGGAGGTACTTTCCAACCTGATATTTTATGATTCTATGAATACTGAGGTATCTCAGTGTTACTCAATAGTAACTGTTCAACAGGTAGGCTGTAGCTTAGTGAAATTGGATCCATGGAAAGCTTTGCTGAAATAACGGTACTTTACTCTGGATTTTTTACTTGGATCTAATGCATTTTCTCTCAGTAATGTAACTCCAAAAGGTGAGTGGGGTTGCCCAGGCCCCCAGAGTTTCTTACCTGTTTGTGGATTAGGCTGAGGGATCGTTCTTTTAATCCTCTGTGGGAACTGGGCTTGACCTTCATTAGCAAGTTTTTCAGTTTGTGGAGCCTGCCATTTATATTCTGGTTCTACTTACTTCACTTTTCCCACCCATTAAAGCCTTCAAACTTTCTTAGACAGTTTCACCATATGTTGCTCTCTTTTTTTGGCTAAAAAAAGGTAGATGCTTTCTTCTTTTATTGTACCCTTTCCAACTAAAAATATTTTTCTTCTAGAACTGTCTTGATTTTTATTTTCAATGTAAATGCACTGGCTTAAGTTTCCATCCATGACAGATCCTTCTGGGATCTGTTTTGTTATTCTGTTCATATGTGCAGAAATGTTACAACTTGTGGAGGGATACGGTTGCTTGGTTTTGTCAGCTACACCAATGTGCAATCACTCTATTACAGAGAAAAAAGAATGTGATAACAGCTTCTTTCCTCATACAGAAAAAATTACCTATATCTGGGCATTCAAGACTATCTAAATCTTCTCAGATTTAAATACAAATGTCTCTTGTTTATGAAGGGATCTGGCCATATAAGCTTTCCTTATAAACCTTATAAACCTCTTCAATCTTTTCAAAGGAAAGGTCTATAAAACTTCACTGGTGTTCGTACATCTCTTCTGACACTGTAGATGTTTCCTACTTTAGATGAGCAACAGTCATTTCACTCTTTAGCTGGGGTAACCAAACAATGTTTTGAGCTATAATTTGTCCTGGGTTTTAACTAAAGGTGTACACAGTCAGTAGACCCTGCAATTAGTAATTGGAATACTGTGAATGGCATTTAAACAAAATTATAAGATCTTAAGGCTTCAAGTGTTCTTTATACAATGTAACTCTGGTTATTACTTAACTCCTATATATTTAAGCATACCTGTGCTATTTCTTCAGTTGTGCTCAGAGGGGAAGCTCCAGGCTTTGCAGCATGACAGGAGCTTCAAAATCTCTTGATCACAGGATTTTTAAGGCATGTACTGGCCTGGTAGACAAGACGAGAGCATTGGATAGTGTCTGCATGGACTTCAGCAAGACTTTCAGTGCTGTCTCCCGTAAGATCCTCATAGAAAAGCTTTTCAAGTATGCTGTGGATGAGTAGACAGTGAGGTGGATTGAAAATTGTCTGAACTGCTAGGTTCAGAGGTTACTAGCTCCTGGATGTACTGGTAATCAGCAAGTCTGAAATCATTTCAGGTGCTGGAGTGAGCAATAGATTGTCTAATGGGCTCCCATTCCAAGCTGTGACAGCACTAGCTGTCACAGCATAAAGAGCATTTCTATTTGTTTATTTACTTATTTATTTAGGGCATAAATATTTATTTAAGGGCATTTATTTTTAATTCATCTGAGTAATGGAATTGCAGCATGTAGTAGGGGCTCCATTGGTGGTGATGGTATTTGAATCTGATTTCCAGGCATAGAATGGAAGACACAGTGTAAGAATGACAGTCAAGAATAAATGAAGTATGAGGAATTAATTTGGGCTTGTCCTTGAGCTGAAAATTTCTAATGAACATACAGCAAATGACATAATTGCTATATAGTAGGCTAAAATGTGGAAAAACTGGTAATTTAATATGATTACAATATGGATTAAACCAAGTTGAAATAATTGGAACCAATCTTCATTTTTCATTTGAGAGAATTGCAAGAAGTCTACAAGTTCCTTTATCTGAGCTGGCAGCAGAGATTAAGGTGTCCTTCTTACCCAAAGCACTGGTAATATCCCTGCCTAAAAGAAATAAAAATGACAGCTGCTCAGAAGTTTCTAAGGAGCAGTTCTTTCTAAGAACTGTTTTGATCCAGTGGCATCTGGAAGGATGAGAGATAGTCCAGATGGTGAAAGAGGTAGACAGACCTCAGGGCAGCCTAAACAAACATAGCAGTGTGATCGTGAGAAGAGACATTTGTAGGGTGTTTGGTGAGAAGGAGCTTGGTGATGAAAACTGCCAATTTGTCTGATTCTCTGTATGTTCAAAAAAGCAGAACTCTGTACATCCTTTTTAGTAGAGAACTGTGCTGGAGATTAAGATCCTTCATGAATTTTCCTTTTAAAATCAATTAATCTGCACCAAATCCCACACTTGTATACTGCACAAACCTTTTGCATTAGTGGGGATGAAATTGATGTCTGCACGCAATTTAGTCCCACAACTTGTGCAGGTAGCACATCACTATAGAAAAACGATCATGACTGCAGTTTTACAGAAATTAATATTTGCTTTATGCCTTACGATATAGTTGGCTTACATGTCTTGCTAAGCTTAGCAAATGCATCCCTTTGGAGATGCTTAGAAAGCATAACTTACTTAAATTATGAAGGTTTTACTAGCCCTTCTGTCCACGTGATTTGGGAACTAGTAATCATCCATGTTGTCAATTAACCCTACCCAGCACCTGTGCCCCTCACAGCTGCTCACTCACCTCCTGGTAGGATGAGGAGAGAATCAGAAGAGTAAAAGTAAACTCATGGGTTGAGATAAAGACAGTTGAACAGGTAAAGCAAAAGCCACACACACAAGCAAAGCAAAATAGGGAGTTCATTCAGCACTTGCCGTCTGCAGGCAGGTTATTCAGGCATACCCAGGACAGCAGGGCTTCATCACACACAATGGTTACCTGGGAAGATAAACACCATCACCCCAAACATCTGCCCCTTCCTCCTTCCCCCAGCTTTATATGCTGAACGTGACTCCATATGGTATGGAGTATCCCTTGGGTCAGTTGTGGTCAGCTGTCCTGGCTGTATCCTCTCCCAGCTCCTTTTGCACCCCCTAGCCTACTCACTGGTGGGGTGGGGTGAGGAGCAGAAAAGGCCTTGACTGTGTAAGCACTGCTCAGCAGTAACAAAAACATCCCTGTGTCATCAACACTGTTTTCAGCACAAATCCAGAACAGCTATGGAGAAAATGAACTGTATCCCAGACAAAAGCAGCATAATCCAGCTGATCTATGACTGAGCTACTACAAGTGTTTCAATTTGGGAAGTGGGGGAGTGGGGGACAAATGTTTATCCAGTTGTTTATATGATTTTCCATCACAGTTATGAGACTAACTAGAGTTTACCCACCATCACCTTTCCCAAAAGACACAGTCTAGGAGGGAGGATTTGGGAATGCATAATAATGGTTTTTAGCAGGTCATTCCCAAGTGATAAATCCCAAGTAGCTCTGTTGCTAGGGAGGACATAATATTTTCATCTTCACCCAACACTTCTATGCTCAGAGGATTTCCAATTGCATAAAACAAGTCTCAGTGCTGAAAGAAATCTGGGAGCCAAGCTGGCCTCAAAAAGAGATCAGCTTAATCTGAAGAATGCAATGGCCTTTTGCCAAAACACAGAAGAAAGCCAGGTCCTGAGAAGTCCTGTAGATCACATCAGTAATGAAAACTGAATTGAACAATGTGAGATTAATGAGGAAAACTGTAAAATGTCTGGTAAAATAGACTGCTTTTAATAGCCTTAAAATTACTCTTACCAGGTGGGCCAGTTCAAGCAAACAATACATCAGAACAGGAATCACTGCTGTCCACTTCCGGAACTTCTGTAACAGAAGCCTACCAGCACTGTCACAGTGCTGTTGGAAGCAGAGCAAGAATTGACTTAGGGAGAACCCCTCAGTAAAAAATCCACTAGAGTTTATTTCTAGATCAGAAATCCAAATATGCAGTATTGAAAAACCTATTTTAAAAACAGAAAAAGTGAAGGTTCCTGTTATAACTTGCAGCATGTATTCCTTGAGATCTTTAGGAATGACATCTAGTGCCTACATAGCAATTTCAATGCAGAATAACAAGGGTGGTTAGTTTAAAACCTTGGGCACTTTTGAACTGATTCTGAGTCTAATCAAAATGGTGAATGGTTAAGTCAGATTTTGCTGTGTCAATACACTGTTGGTTCACAGATCTCTATTTGCAGATAGACAAAATATCATGAAACTCTCCAGAGTATGTCTCAAAAAGACATTTCTGGAAAATCTAATAATTATAGGCAAATATACATGCCCTGTTGGCTGTTGAACATGGTCATGACACTAGCATGTAGCTAGAAGCTCATTTAAATGAGCCAACAGACACCTCTCCAGTAGTCCACCAGTAGAAGATAGAATCAATGTTTCAGCTATAACTGAAAAGCTGCTTCAACGTCAGAACAGCAGCTGTGAAGAGCAAAACATAAAAACGCAAGAGAGCTCCCTATGAAGTGGGGAGAATAACAGTGTTGTGGTTTAAACCAAACCAGACAACTCGTTCACTCACTTCCCCCCCCCCTCTTCTTGCCCTCCCCATACTCCCGGAGGGACAGAGAGGAGAGTCAAAAAGAATGCAACTCCCATGGGTTGAGATAAGAGCAGTTTAGTAACTAAGGTATAACACAAATCACTACTGCTACCACCAATAATAACAATGATAAAGGAAATAACAAGGGAAGAGAATACAACACCTCAGCACCAGCCGACCAATAACTCGCCCCCCAGCCCAACCAAGCACCAACCCATACCTCCTCCAACCCCGCAGTCCCAGCCCTTCCGGGTAACTCTCAGTTACATCCCAGGCATGACGTGCTGTGGTATGGAATACCTCTTTGGTCAGTTTGGGTCAGGTGTCCTGTCTCTGCTTCCTCCCGGCTTCCCCTCCTCCCTGGCAGAGCATGAGGCTCACAAAGTCCTTGGCCAAACCAAAACATCCTTGTTATCAGCTCTGTTCCCAGGCCAAAAATCAAAACACAGCACTGCACCAGCTACCAAGAGGGAGAAAAATGACTGCTACTGCTGAACCCAGGACAAACAGCAATAGCAAAACAACTTAACAGGAAGCAACAGAAAAGACCATAGCAAGCTTTATGAATGTAAAACAGGTAAAGAGACAAGCAGTCCCCAGAGAATATCCTGATCTCTTTGTAGAACAGCTAAGCAGGTCACCAGGAGTGACTGGAGGGTATATAGTCTTCTTGACACTTTCTGCTGGTCTTACGTAGAAGAGTGCTACAGGTGCAGAGACATATGGGCTGGTTTTATGCATGTCTTACTAGCTTGAGTACCGGACAGTATGAATGTAGAACACTGCTTTTGGGGTCAAAGTCTAGAAGCCTTGCAAACACTTTTCTCGTGACTCTGAACCCAAATGAGTATCCTCAATCTGTCAGGTTCAAATAGATTTCTACACCTAGTTTACACAGATGTGTCTAGACCACACTCTAGCTTCAGTAAGGAACACAATGCTATAAGGAGCCCAGCAATGCAAAACTGAAGTGCTTCTTCATAGAGCTGACACATATGATTCAGTGATTCTCTTCCACTTATGGACCATCTCCATATGTACTAGGGCAGTGAGCTCTGTATGGCAGCTTAGGTACTGGTAGGACTTAGTAGTTTGGACATCAGCCATACTCACACAGAGTGGCACCTGCTGCTGCTGACTTTTCCATATTTAGAGGTGTGATGCACATCACCCAAACTGCAGTATTATTTCTGCACAACTAGCCATGAAAAAGGTAACTATAGCGAGTAGCTGAATTCTTTGGATTATCTTAATTATTCCAAATGTCCTTATCTGTTAAAAATATTACTTGGTGCAAAATAATTTTTTTCTTCAATAACAGAAATCAAAGGGTACACCTGAATGCATAGGGAAGGATAACAGGAAGAACAGGAAGAAAATAGTTTTACTTATCTGCACAGGCAATGAGCAATTAATGTCTAAGCAACAAGCAACTATCAAAAATTAAGAATGCTCCAGAAATACATCCTTTCAGTGCAGACCTCATACTTTTTGGAGAGAGGACATGGAAAACTACTAGGGTGACTAATAAAAAGATTGATTTTTTTTTTCCTCCAATGTAAATGCTCCTAGGAAATCCTGAGAGAAGGATCTTCTTATAACATCAAGAATTCTAACTAGGACAAACCCACATCAGTATTAAGCACAGCAAGGTGATTGACAGACACATTTAGGACACCAGCATGACTTCCATAACAAGTGATAAGATGGATGCCATCTGGAAATCACACAAAAGGAGTTGGATGCAGATAAGCTTCTGTCAAAGTTGATCTCTGTATTTTTCTGTATTTTTTGTGCAAGTTCC